GTACTGACAGGGACTAGAAGGAGAGATATTTCTTCACTATTTGCATCTCTGTATTGGCTGCCTGTTAAATCCAGAATTGAATTCCAAATGTGTTTATACGCCGTGTTTAATCATTAGTTATTATTAATACCTAAAAAGTTCTAGAAACATGCTTTTTTACTTGGTTGTGGTAACCAAATGTCCCTCTTCATGTGGGAATGTACAGCATATGTATCCTTGTCATCCCACAATTTAAATGGTCTCTAGTATTCCATATTTAACATATTTTGTAAACCAAAATATGTTTTAACATCTGGCTTTTATTGAATGTCTCTGAAGAAAACAGCTGTCCTAATGGGTCTCCTGCTGCTTAACATGTAACCTGTTCCTATCTACTGTGCCTAAAGTGGAATAATGATTGTGAGACAAATAGCAAAACAACAGATTAGACTCATCTAGAATATAAAGGCTTAAAAAATATTTCAAACTTTTGCTCTCTTTTATGCACATTGTATTTATTTAGCAAGGTAATAATGCTGCATTTGGATATTTAAACTGTGACAGTTTCTCTTTTTAAAGAAAAAATACAAAATCCTGACAGTCTAAATTATAAGTTTTATCTTCAAAGAGTCAGCAGTTAATATTAAGCTAAGCATCTGTACTTTTCAAATTAAAAAGAAAACAGTTAACTCCACACCTCCACCCCTGCCAGTGCTGTATTATCATGGACATGTGGATGCTGTTTTGTGATTTTAGCTGTGGTAACAATAGCACCCACTTCGATGTGATGGTTTCATTGTTCAGTTTTCTTTAGGAAAAGGAAGCAGCCAAAACCAAAACACTAAACATACATATTTGGAAAATGAAAATTGTTATTGTGGATTTGCAATTTCCTTTAAAAGCTTTTATTATTGTTTTTATTAAGTCCTTCATGTTTAATTATTTCCTCCTTTAAAGCCCAGTCTTACAAGGCTGTTCAAACAAGTCTTAAAATTAATTAATGCATCAATTTTAAATGTTGATCATTTTATCTCTATTAATTAACACTGCTGAAAATCATCTTATAAATGATTAGATACTGATTTCTAACCGTCCTTAATTTAAAAAAAAAATCTTGAAAGAGTACTGTATTTTTCATACCAGAAGGGACACGGGATTATAAGGTGTTAGCATAACATAATTTATGTTATGCTAACATAGCTGTGTTGCTAGCGTTCACGTAGCACATCATTATATACCAGCTAGCCCAACTTCAGCAACCCTACAAAAGTCACTGCTGTTTACTTTTCTCTCTTCATTTATGTTGGAAGTGATAGCAGAGCTGTCCGTTTTAATTTTTCAGAAATCTCTCAGTCAGAACATGGTATATCATGTTCAGGTGGAAACTAGCGAGCTAACTTCTAACTCCGTTAAATTGTATATGTTCTGTTTTTATGGGTGCCTGGATGTTAAACTTAATTGTTACACCTAATAAAGCAGCAACGCTGATCATTTTATTAAAGATGAAAGAATTTACACAGTTTTTAACTGTCAGTGATGCTGCAGTGTTCGTTTGACTTTGAGACCTGAAGCCCACAGAGTTTTGGACCCAGATTACTCCCAGAGGCTCCTGACTACAGTAGTCATAATGCTCCGGCAAAACGGCTTCATATCTTACTAAAGTCGTACTAAAACATTTTTTGACAGATTTTTGAGTGCCGTGTACCACATAAAATCAGTTCAAGATCAGTAAGCACAACCAGAATTCATACATAAGGCGCACTGTTGATTTTTAAGAAAATTAAAGGATTTTAAGTGTGCCTTATAGTCTGAAAAATACGGTAGTTATAAAACAGCTTGGTAATCATGTGCAAAGGAACTGTTTATTTTAAGAGTTGCAGCATCATTTTACTACATTAGTCATGGAGTTCCACAGGGTTCTGTACAGGGACCATTATTTTTTTTATTTCCCTTAGCCAAAATTATTTGAAAATACTGTATTTTTTTCTTTGCTATATAACGGATACCTAACCACAGGCCGTTATTAAGCCAAATAACAGAAATCACTTAAACTATGAACCAGTGGTTCATTCCATCTCGAAACAGGACATTTTTAAAACATTCATTACTTGACAGTCTCTAATTTGCCTAAAAACATTATGCTCTAAAGTCCAGACATGTATAATGATTCCTGTGAATTTTTAGTTTCCTATATCAAATACTTTTCTAGATATTGATACTTTTAAAAAGCACTGTCCTCCCACTTTCAAGCCTTTTTTCTTTCTCTTTGAAATCTGAGGCAATGTTGAACATGAAAAACTATTAAAGATAAAAGCATGATATTTTCACAGGCCTTTCCTACCATTAAATTGAATCAGGAGCTGTAATTTGGGACAGATGCATCAAATAATGTTTGAGCACTGGCTCTTTAAAATACAAACAAAAAGTCTCATATTTGACTACACACTACTAAAGAAACTCCACATTGCAAAAACCAACTAGTGACAATTTCAGAGGAGTATATAGTGGTGCAAAATAGAACATGTAGAATATTTGTTAACATTAAATTATTATTCACAAAATTGTGCAAAATGCTGGAAGTGGGTTGAAAGACCATTTTTCTGTCTGGCATTAACTTTCCCTCCATAACACTGAGGAACCTGGGAGTTACTTTTGGCCAGGATATGTCCTTCAGTGTGCACAATAAACAAATATGTAGAATTTATTTCTTTCATCTCTGTGACAGTGACAGTGAAAAACTAGTTTGTGCATGTGTTACTCTGAGGCTGAATTTAATTCATTGCTATCGAGTTGTTTAAAAAATAAGTTCCCTGAAAGCCTTCAGTCGATCCATAATGATGCAGTGCGACTACTAACAGGGACAAAAACGAGAGACCCTATTGTGCCTATTAGCTTCCCTTAACTGGCTCCCTGTTAAATCAACAGTTAAATTTAAAGTTCTTCTCGTCACATGTAAGGTACTGAATACTGTTAAAGAGTGTTAAAAAATAAAAAAATAAATTAAATTAAATTAAACTGAATTCACAGGATTTCACATTTCATAAGACCATTTTGTATAATATAATGATGGTGATGCCACTTGGTGTATTGTGTAAGATTTATTTACCCACAGAGATTTATCACTTATCCCACAGCTTTGTGGAAAATGTTAGCATCTTTCACCATATTTTTTTTTTAATACAGCAGCTTCACTCATCAGCTTCAGGCAGACAGATGTGTTGAACAAAAATATGTCATGTTGGATTACAGAAGCAACCTTTTAAACTGACCTCTTACTTACTCTTAACTGTTTTGCTGAACACAGCAACCTTAAGGCTTTAAACCGCTCTGCAAGCGGCAGTTTTTCCTCTGTGTAACCGAGAGTGGGTGGGAAGGCAGATATTTTGAAGATTAATCAATAATATAGTTGTAGGATCAAAGAAGTATTACTCTATTGTTGGGAAGAGGTTGTGTCTGGGAAGCACATTCTGCTTTTTTTTTTAATCTCCAAAAGCTGCACGCAAACCGTAGCTATCTTTTTTCTGTTGATGCAATCTTTCAGTGAATGCTAAAGTGGAAACTAATACTGCATATGGAAGGACAGTTTTCAAATAAAGCTAAATAAATGGAAAATTTCAAAATGCGACACTAATCAGCAGATGAAGAGCTCTTGAAAGAATTATTATTTTTAAATAGATCATTTGGGAAATCCCCCCCCAAAAAGTGAAATTAATGCTGTTTCACTGAAAGTTGTTTCATCATTAAAGGGGAGCATCTTACTGAAGAGATAGGGTCTTGGGCCCACTATGCAAAGTGGAGGAAAATGCGAAGAGGAATTCCCTCTTGACCTCATCTACAGGAAGTTACATAACAAACATTTCCTCTCTTCCTCTGGAACGTAAATACATATATATATAAAATTGTTTCAAGTGCCAGAGGAACAGTAGCAGATTGTATCTATGTGCAAACAGACCTTTGGCACTGCACTTATACGACTGAGGGTAAACACTGTAACTGCCTCCTTCCTTCACTCGCAGAGGAAAACGATGCGATTCTCAAGGTTCAAGTGGGATTTGCATCAAATATTTGTACAAAAAAACAACAACAACAACAACACAGGACATCTCACAAAGTCAAGTCCGTCCTTGACAATAGAAACACACCTACAAAAAGGCCTTGTCACTCAAGTTACACCTGGCCATGATGGGTCTCTAAGCAACAACTGTCAATGCATGAAACGAAGGAAAGGAAAGAGCACACGCTTAATTACGTGCTGGTTGGAATCTGTCTGCTGACTGTTGGGGGAGAAAGGGGGAGACAGGTTACATGGGAATAGCCTGTAATATCGAGACTGGTGCTTTCTTTATTTGGGATGGTAGTGATTCGTTAGTTTGACATCTCAGTGCTTTTACATTTTGTGTTATTGTGGGGTGGACGAGTAGATCCATGTTTTCGGGTAAAGTTAAATCAATAAAAGAGAGACAATGCGCAAGGAAAATGTTTTCACGGAGATTAACGGCAAAGCTGAAAAATGAGACTTCTCTACTGTTGCAGCAAAACTAATTCCGGTCAAAATTGGAAACAAAAGTGTTGATGAGATGACGATCACTTTTTCCCTCTTTTTTCCTGTGAAGCCGCGCAAAGTAGCGCCCTTTGTTATCGCTCGTTTCCGCTCAGGCTGTTTCATATGCATTGCATTCAGATATATATTTTTTTGGTTAGATCGCCTGACGTCGGCGTTAAAATGTCTTATAACCTTCAGCAACCAGGACTCTGTGTTTTTTGCACAGCGGTGGTAGCTCTCACGTCAGTTGGCAGCAAAAACAGGAATTCATAACATTATGTTTGAACACAAAGAGGGAAAAAAATATATTTTAAAGATTATTTTCGTTATTTTGTGTAGCTTAAAAGGTGGTTTAACGGTCAAAGTGCGTTAGTCACTAGTAATGCAAGTACCAGAAATAAAACAAAAATGGGCCAAATCTAGATAAAAGAGTGATAAACGGGCTGTGTTTCTATCTAGCTGTTATTCCTGTGGTAAGAGCCCTTATTCTGGCTGGATACTCTGTCATATCTGTTGGCGCTGCCTCTGATGTCACTGAATGAGCAGTGCGGGCTTCCAGTGCGCACCTTCGGGGACGCAGCAGTGGCACAGCCAGTGGATTGTGCTGTGCGTTCGCCAACTACCCGGAAACCTTTTGTTTCTCACGTTTTTCCTCTCATCCGGATTTCAGTCCGTGTTTGCACTTCTGCTCATCCGCCTGGGTTTATTCCAATGAACTTTTTTGGAAGCGGGAAAGCAGGTAAGGTGGTGTCACACTTGTGTAATGATGTCCTTGAGCGCGTTGTGTTGGCTCTTGTTCTCTCACACAGATCCCACAGTATGTGGTAATGGAAAAAAATGCCCTGTTTTTTTAAACAGTCGCCAGATATTCTGCTGTCTTGGTCTGCACCAATTTAAGTTGAACGGTCAGTTTACGCCCAACAGCAGCAGCAGCAGCAGCGGCGGCGGCGGCAGCTTTCAGCACCATGGAGAGCAACGTGGTGCACATCTTCAAAGAGGACCGGTGTCCCTCGGGCCAGCCGGGGGAGTGCATCCCAAACTTTACCTGGCAACCTTCGGATATCTTCAACTACACTGCCAACGGCACCTGGGATGCTGAACCCGAGCCAATGTCGCCCATCATCCCCATCATAGTCGCCGTTTACTCCATAGTGTTCGTGGTGGGCTTAGTCGGCAATTGTTTGGTGATGTATGTCATCATAAGGTGAGCTATCAGCTTTGAAAGCGTGTTATCTGTTGTGTAAAAGAGCATGATCATCAGCTTGAAACCGAGTGCGTATCTGCAGGAGTAGCTCATAAAATGGGAATTCGGTGCGCACTGATCAAGTCCCTTGCAGTGTGTTTGCTCATGTGTTTTCAGAAAAGCATTAAGTTTAGTATCAGCTCTGGGACATACATCAACAGAAATGAGGTTTAAAATGAAGCAAATGTTGGATTTTTGTCGTTTCTGCAACTGTTTAGTGCATGCATATAGTGTGTTTTCTTGTTTCAAACACACACACACACACACACACACACAGAGATAGATAGATAGATA